TAGCACCAGCACCTGGAGGCTCAGGTTTTCCTACCAGCTAGTTCTGGGAAGACAGATCAAATTCTTCCCACTGTTAATGTTTGATCAGGACCTGCCTGTTGCTCTCTGAACTCATTCCTGTCATAAAGCCAGGCAGCTGCCCGCGCCGGCCGCAGTGGGAAGGACTCTGCGGGTGTTTGATGTCGAGCCCGGAGCGGTGGCTCAGCCCACAACTCAAACAGAGAGAGCGTGGAGCTGTGTGTGGCACGGAGGGGCTCGTACTGCCCATCTGCCTGCCGAGTCATTTATGATCATCTCTGTAAACTCAGGGATGTCTCTCCAGGTGAGGCTCTGCGGGGAGATGATGGCAGAGCCCATGGATACACCCCGCGCAGCCCACGTACACCCTGCGCCAGGCTGCGCGTCTCGGAGGAGAAGGTGAGGGACAAATGGGAGAGGGATGGTGAGGGAGCCAAAGGATGAAGGAGCTTGAGAGGATGTAGCCTTCTACCTTGTGCCACCAACACCAGGATCCCACAAACATGCATCGTGTCCCTGAGCCCCAAGTCCTCTGTCCTGGTACCCATCACCTCCTGGGTGAGCTCTGGAGCAACAGAAACTGGAGACACACGAACACTTCTTCCATCAGATATGGTTTTGGCTGCACCCTTGTCTCTGCTGGCAGCACGGCAGATGCTCCTGCTCCCAGGTTACCCATCTGAGCATCCATCCTCAGCTGGCAGAAGCAGCTCCTCCAAAATCCCTTCACCAGGGATGGTGGGGGGTGCAGAGGGGCCAAGGTGTGGGCAGCCTTTGACAGTCCTTTGCTGGACACCATGATGGTGGCAGAAGCTCCTTCTTCCCTCTGGAGGAGCAAGATCTGAACTTTAGACACCCCGAGAGGTGAACACAACCCTTTGAGAGCTCACCCTCATGCCTCAGCCCCAGGGCCTGCTTTGCCAGGAGGATGCAGATCCAAACCTTGGATCCTGATGCTGCACAAGGGGAAACATCCCGCCTGCCTTGTGAACTTGCACTGTCTTGGGCTGGGACTTGGCTCTGGTGCAGCTCCTCTCCGCAGGGCTTAGCTCATCCCTCTCCTACGGAGAATACCCGGCAGCTGGAGGCCCCTCGCCGTCCAGGGACGCTCTCTCCCAAAGGTTCCTTTAACAACCCCCCAAGGATTTCTCCAGGCCATAATATTCCCCTAGACAAGCCTTTCTTCTCCTCCCGCCTTTCTTCTGTCTAGGAGCCCTGTGGGACCAGCAGCATTGTCAGGATGGTGCCAATTAGGCTGAGCTGGTTTCCAAGAGGCTGCGTTGGCAGCGGCCGGGGGCTGCTGTTGCTCATCAAGGTCTCATTGTTCGTCGCGCCGTGGGGCTGCTGGCCGGCGGGGCCGGCGCGGTCCCCTCTGTCCCAGGCACGCTTCCTGGCTCCACGCGGCGCTGGTGTCACTGCCAGCTGCTCAAAGGGATGATTAACGGGTGTCACGGAGGGGGCTGAGAAGGGGAGGGTTTGTGGAACCTCCCTGGGCTCCCCACGAGGCTCCAACGCGCCAGCTGAGAAAAACCAGAGAACCATCAAAGTGGCCGGAGCTCCTGGAGTTGGGGGGAGGGGGGGCGGAAATCTGGCACCGTTGGCTCCTTTCCACGCTTTGTGCCTGACAATGGTCGGGATCAACCACTAACGCGCTGTTATTGACTGCTCCCCTAGATCTGGCTTGGAGAACATGGCCACTTCAGTCAGGACCTTCCCAGTTGCCCTGTGGACACCGACGCCGAGTCCATGGCCAGAAGGAAACACCACCGAGGCACCGGAGGCAAAGTGTGTCTTCGATGAGGAGTTCAAGTTCATCCTGTTGCCCATCTCCTACGGCATCGTCTTCGTGGTGGGGCTGCCCCTCAACTCCTGGGCTCTGTGGATGTTCATCTGCAGGATGAGGCCCTGGAATGCCACCACCACCTACATGTTCAACTTGGCTGTCTCTGACACGCTCTATGTCCTCTCCCTCCCCACCCTGGTCTATTATTACGCCGACCGCAACAACTGGCCCTTTGGGAAATGGCTCTGCAAGATTGTGCGCTTCCTCTTCTACGCCAACCTCTACAGCAGCATCCTCTTCCTGACGTGCATCAGCGTCCACCGCTACGTGGGCATCTGCCACCCCATCCGCTCCCTGAAGTGGGTGAAGACCAAGCACGCCCGCATCATTTGCGTAGGTGCCTGGCTCGTCGTCATCATCTGCCTCATCCCCAACCTCATCTTTGTCACCACCAGCTCCAAGGGCAATAGCACCCTGTGTCACGACACCACCAAGCCTGAGGAGTTTGACCATTACGTGCACTACAGCTCCTCCGTCATGGCCCTCCTCTTCGGGGTCCCCTTCCTGGTGATTGTCCTGTGCTACTGCCTGATGGCCAAGAGACTGGGCAAGTCCAGCTTCTCCAGCCCCACCCCCCGAATGCCCTCCTACAAGAAGCGCTCCATCAGGATGATCATCATTGTGCTCACTGTCTTTGCCGTCTGCTTTGTGCCCTTCCACATCACCCGGACCATGTACTACACCTCCCGCTACTTCCAAGCCAGTTGTTGGACCCTCAACATCATCAACTTCACCTACAAGATCACACGGCCCTTGGCCAGTATCAACAGCTGCCTCGATCCCATCTTGTACTTCATGGTTGGGGACAAGTACCGGGGACGGCTACGCCGGGGGCCAGGCCAGCGGCTCCGGCCCCCACACCCCTGCGGCCCGG